TAGTATAAATTTTGATAAAATAACAAAAATGAGCTTAAAGAATTGAGGAAGTTACAAGAAAAACACACTGCATGGATGTATCAACTACCAAATATATTACGGCTGATATTTATTTTTTGTTACATAAAGGTATACTCAGTTACATATTTACTTACATACAATTATGTTTGAAAATAATATCGGGTGTATAGCGATTGTTTCTTCTAAAATTGACCTTCAAAATTCATCCAAATGATAAACGCTAGTTAGTACCGTATGCGCCATGATTTTAAGAGGCAATGATATCGAGGGAAGCATCATGTTTTTGAGGTATAAAGCAATGATGTTTTATTATAATATTAATATGTAGATAATTTGAAGAAACGTTTAAAATATTCGTGAAACATTGTAACATTTCAAATAGTCGAACAAAACTAAGCAAACCATTGGTTCCTCTAAAGCAGCTATCAATAGGAAATTTAACGATTGTCACGGCTTTGGAATGCTGTAAACGTAAGGATAATAAACGCTTTTGGTCGATGTAAAGGCAGCGCCGCTGTATCGTGCAATTGCATTGTGTTATCTATTAATTTTTTTTAAATAGAATCAAGCCCTTTTTTCTTAAATTGCTTCGAATTGATGTTGATTCGAATTGCTTCGATTCGAAATTCTGAAACTTACATCCCTAGTTGCGGTCCACTCTCACGTGAGAAAGTTTTTTGTGGGTTGCAAACTCAAATACCAACCAAGTTTTGATTTACCTTGGAATTTCCTTATTACATAAAATAGTTTATTTACATAAAATTAATCAAATCCAAAAATAAATACTGAGTAGAGCAGACAAAATATTTGAATATTGTGTCAATATTAAAATATTAGAGCTGCAGTTTACTACTCGAATATCTGGTAACACAATACCTGGGCATGTCACTGAAACAAATTCTTGCCTTGCACAATGCACCTATGTATTTGTACACAAAGTCCCATCCCATAACAATTTATGTCAATTTATTCCCTCCCATTAAATAGTGTTCCCATTAAAAAAAAAATACAAACTTTAATTACAAACAAAATTACAAATTTATAGCGCTGGCCTTGGAATTCCCTGCAGGATTCGAACCTACGAACTCTCGCAGGTTACTTAGAGGTTAGATAGCAGGCATTTCAAGTCCTATGACACGTTTAGACCAACTCTACATATTAGAAGTTTAACAAATTCTCGTTATTTCAGGCTTCTTCCAAGTTTGGCGTCAACTTCGATCCGTTCCATCGAATTGAGAAGATTATCACAAGTTGTGTGATAGATTATTCTGCGTATGGGGGAGCTGAGGAGGGAAAATCCCCTGAGAAAAAAGCCGGGGAGGAAAAATCAGCTAAAAATAAAAAAGATTCTTTGAAAAAGAAAGAATAAGTCCATAGGTTTTCAAATTTAATTTACTTCCTGTAATGCATCGGATTATCTGTTTAATTTAAATCAGGGTATTTTTTTTATGATATTGAAACTCGTATTTCCCTCTTTCAACGTTAATTTTAACAGTTTTTATAATTCTGTATTACAAATCCCCACGCATTGCATTAATGCAATTTATGATTGTGTGACTGTATTATAAATATTAAATTATATATTATTATAACGCAGCTAAAATTTTAACTTAGTCTTCCCTTTCTCAATGTTAATTTTGTTAATTTATTTCATTTTTAAAACAAATATTTTTTTATTTAAATGAGTTTAAATTGAACAATCCAATAATCTTGTGAAAAACTAGTCATTTGGGAACCACTGACATTTATTACAATCAATTGTTTCAAATACTTTAGTGCAGCGTTTCTCAAACTGTGTTCTGTTCTACATGCTTCCTGAAATTGTTCTGCAGAACAGGAACGAAATTGGTCGCCATGGCGATCTCGGCCTTACTTCGGCGATAAATTTTTCTCCCAACTGGTGACAAACAGTTGAACAGACCTTGCTATCTGGGAAGTCCGGGAAGAGTCTTTGAAAGAAAGTAAACATGAGGAACCCGATACCCGAATCCATGTTTGTGCATAGACTGTCAAGGGCTGTTGGTATTTTAATCAGGCTCAAAAATTATGTGCCTTCGAGTGTTTTACGAACTGTTTATTTTGCAATTTTTCATTCTTCCATTCAAAATGATATTGTCTTATGGGGTTCAGCATCAAAACCGCGCTTTCAGGAATACATCAAATGTGTCGTTGCGAACTAGACTTAGTCCACTATTTTGAAACTGAATGACTTATTTCACTATGAAATAGGGAAAATCATGCATAAATTCTCCTCAGCGAGTTTACTTGAATCGTTTGCGTCATATTTCACCGATTGTAGTAGCCTATATTCGTATAATACACGATCCTCTTTATAAAATTCATATTTTATTCCAAGAGCTGACACAAAATTCTCCCAAGAATCAATCAAGTGCACTGGTCTAAAAAATTTGGAATCAAATTCCTGAATCTATTAGATTGGCTTCCTATGTGAAATTTAAAAAAAGTTACCTAAATTTTCTTGTTGAGGATTACTAAAGTATAGTTATAATATTCAATAATGATTAAAACATGTAACTGTCCATCATATAATGGTCACATTGCCACTGTTTGCTTACTATCTTTCAATTTTCAAACTAATTTTAAATAATTTTCTACAATTCACTTATTTTTTCTGGCTATTATTATCTGTATTGAGAGTATACTTCGTTTAAATATTTGGTAGTTAACTAGTCGACGGTTACTGTATATTTTTTTTTCTCAATAATTATTTATCTGGAATGGGTGGTGGCTGACTTTGATGACCTTTGGTCGTATCCAGTAGTGGGGTTCAGCTGGTTCGCAACGGTTCTATAGAACCGTCTCACAGGATTTTATGAGAACAGCGAACCCGTTAGCATTACTGGTTACTCTCAATGACTTTTTGTAACAGAACCGGGTGAATCCCACTACTGCGACTCACAAGGCCTGCTTGAAATTATGGCCCTCCAACTTTGCAAGCTTAGACTAGCCTGAAGTACAAAATCGAAAGTAGTTTGGTGTTTTGCGCGAGCATAAATGTAAACAAAGTTAATTTTTCAACTTGAAATATATTATGATTTTAGAGTGTAACTTATGCAATATGAAACTAATGAATTATGGGAAATTGAAGAATCTAGAACAGAATTGTTGCAAAAGCAGGTTATACATATTTATGCTTCATGAATATCAATGTCCTCGTAAATTCTCTGACTCCAGCATCAAAACACTTGTTAGTACACAGTACCATGTTAGGGTAAATACTACAGGTTTCTTCCTGCCAAAAAGTGTCATTATTTTGTCACTTGTACACTTGATGGTGTATATGCACACAATCAAATGTTCGATGCCCTTTACTATAGCCTACTCTTTTTACGGTATCTCGCCAAGACAACACTGTCTGGTCTCGCACTTTTATTTTCATGGTAACTAGACTGTGGTGAATGGAATCGACTTTTTTTGTTCAAACAGTGATTGTTTGGTATGTACCGGGTCGCTTTGACGTACCTATTGCTTTTCACATTATTTATCCAATAGCATATTTAGTTCGATTTTATTATATTCATCAGGTTTTTGTTAGATTTCCCCAAGGGTTGAGTCGCTCGATAACCAGTATTGGTTTTCGACATCTCCTTTCACCCTGGAATGCGACTTTTTATATTTCCTTTAATTTGTGTATGTATAGTTTGTACTTTCAGCATGTTGAACAAATAAATTACTGATTACTATATTTACTAACTCACTCCTTTATTTCTAGCTTTGCCGCAAATTGAAAATGTTTCGTCTCAAAGAAATGGATCCGACATTCTTTTGACTTGGAATGCAGTATCTGACAGAAACGTTCTATACAACATAGAAATCTTAGATGAAAAACATGGAGAGACTCACACTACAGAAGTTCCTCAGTATAGGATGAAGTCACCTACACTTGGTAAAACATCGTTTCCAAGTCTGGGCCAAGGATGAATGGGGAAACTCTGGCATCAAAACGCAGTCAAAGAATGTTGTAAAAGGTATATTTCCAGAATTATGTAGATTTTAATTTTTTTTTTCATGGAATTCTGTGAATAATACACATACGAGTATACATAAGAGCAACCACTGGCAGTCAGAATCATATTGTGGTGACGATAGACTGCCCAACTCATTGTAACAATTTATTCCAGTTTTGTCATGGATTAGATCTTAATCGACTAGCACAGGGGTGTGCAAAATGTGGCCCGTGACCCAAGAAACGAGTTTTTAGTTTCGTTTATCTGGTACGTGCGGGCATTCCAATCTCTTCACGCCTCAAAGCCTATACTGTACCAGTACCTGGGTGCCACTGCCATATTAGCAACACTAGCTAGCAGAATTCTGTTGCCAAATACACACTGCTGAGAAAACGTAGCAAAGGCACGGCCTGCAGCCTTACCCAGTTACTTGTATCTGGCCCTCCTGTAATAAAGTTTGCACACCCCTGGACTACAGCATGATATTAAAATTAAAGCAAAGCAAGTAAGAATTACAGTTTGCACTGAATCGCGACTATTGGGATTTTACGTAACAAAAATAGTTTTACCACTGCCAAGGTTTGAAAATTACGCGCCGAATATTGTGTGTCTTGCTGACAAAGGATGCTACAATACCTTCTGCAGTATGCAAATATATTGTCTCATTTCAAAAGTAGTATGATGAATTTTATTCGCAAGTAGCATCAGAATTTCTAATTTTTTTTAATTCCAAGCGAGCAAAGAATTACTTTTGAAGGAAATTGTAAATTAGATACCAAAGTTTGAGCAGTCTTGTAACATTTATGGTTTGAGAATATTTATTTTTGCTGTTTAGATGATACATACATAAGTCAAACACTTTAACGCCCAGTTCATCACACCGGCCTGATAACAACTTAGTTAGAAATACTAGGTGTTAAAATAATAACGCAAAATTAACAGGCGTTAAGATGAAATGCTACTTAAAACATTTAAACACCTTTTAACAGCTTTTTATACTTATATTTATAGAACGCAGAGGACCTCCACCTATCAACTTTGCTGGAGCAAATATTGGGAATCTGCATCTACCGGAAAGAGGAAATCAGAACAATCAGCAAATGGTGAGATTTGGGTAATATTTATTCTCAACTTCCTATAATGCTTTTTCAAAGTATTCATATGTATGTTTTCAATCATCTCCTACACGATGTAATAGACAGTCACAGGCTCGGTTGTGTGGTGCATCGTGCTAAGCGATATGAATACACTTGGTACCACCCCTTTGATTACCCTGTGGGTTTGCAGGTTAGAATCCTGTGGAGGATATTTATGTGTGAGAGGATTGCTGGACTCTTCGGCGCTGTAGGGTGTTTCACGTAACTGCGTAACCGCTGGTCATTTATGGCTTCCTCCACCATCAAGTTCATGCAATTGGGAATATTGACTAACTAACCCCATACTTTACTTCAGTGGTTCTCAACCTTTTACTGGCCGTGTACCACTTTCCTGTTTTTTACTGTGGCCGTGTACCACCGACAAAACTCCTTTTTCGGCGTAAGGAAAAAGACACAAGAAACGTGCTATGGGTGTATTTTATAATGTGGCACTACATCATTTGTGGCGTAACACGCAAAACGAACAAAAAAATGCGGATATCGCTTTGCAAACTTTCTGCTTATTCTGAGAGTGTTTTGGTGTGTTGGCGCATATAAACTGGTTTACGTGTTTGAAACCATAATTTTTATTAAAATTAATCAACCATGTGCTGTTTGCATGTACTGATAGTTTAGCCTTGTCCATCGCAGCTTTTGCGAGATTCAATTTCGGATACTGCAACTGAAGTAAAGCATCGCGGAAGACAATGATAATTGAGTTAAACAATACACAACTATTTTTCTGAAACACAACTGAAAACTGACAAATATCGCTCAAAACAGATATTCAAGCATGGTTGCAAACATTGCCTTGTTTTTGTAGTGACCGTACATTTGAACCCATGTACATTTGAACCCATGTGCATATCCGCGGGTTCAATCTATATGCGGGTGCTTAAACCCATGGGTTAGGGTGAGTATGGGTTCAAATAACCGTAAAACAAAAAAATGCAATTGTCATGGGTTCAAATGTAATGGAACTGTCTGAGCGGCTGGGTGCAGAAATTGCAATTTTTACGTGTTGCGTCATTATTGACTTATTGCTGATTGGTTATAGTTACGGATATAATAAGGAAGCTGATGCTTGGGGAAACATCCATAAACGCTGTTCAGCGAATACATACAGTAAGAAATATAAAGCGTTGCCGGGTATATTTTAGTCAACTGAAAGGTTAATTATTGCAATAATTCAAATCTGCTCGCGTACCACTTGATAAGCTCCCCTACCACAGGTTGAGAACCACTGCTCTACATAGACTGATAACCAGACGAGAGTCTGTGGTTCGTAATATGATTAAGCAGTGTTATCGGCTTTTCCTCCCCCGAGATAAATGTGCAAAACCTATCCTAATTCATGTTGATAATAAGCCCCAAAATGTGATGTCACTATACTTATTAGAACTTTGCTATACCAGGGGACCAGAAACTGTGGGATATTCAATCACTGAGCCATATGAAATATTTAATCCCTAAATTTAAATGATATTTGTCTGCGTTTTTATGGCAGGCAATAAAGATAAAATATATGCTAGATAGTAAAATTGAAATTTTTTAAGGGGCAAAATGAACAAGAAGAAGCTGGTGCAGTAGGTGGAAACCAAGCAATAGAATAAACCAATACAACATGAAGGTGATGACGGTACGTGAAATACCATTTACTAAAACAGCTTTGCAAACTTGATTTCTTGTCTTTTATATTCTCGAAATAGTTCGTGGAGTCATATTAGATCAGTGGTTCGCAACCTTTGATAATTAGAATGAAAATTGCATTCAGTAGCAGAAAACAGCATCATCAATCATTGGTACTACAATCAAAATTATAGATAGTGATACAAATAAAACTAGCATTTTTTAATAGTTCTGTGGCCCACCTCAAAATCTTTTCGTGGCGCAGCAGTGGGCCGTATCTGAGTTTGTCTGAGGTTTCTCAAGATAGATATTATTTTTGGGGGGTTCGGGGGGAGATCACTCTCTCTCATCGACTAAGGTTTAGACAAGCTATGATGATATTTTCCCACAAAGTATCTCATAACAATTTTTTCTGTTCTGTTTCTAACCCTAACCCGGTACACACACTATGGGACATTATTTGCGAGTAAATGCCCGGGTTGTGAATTATGCTGGAGTAGAGGCTTAGTTTGGCAAGTTTTCATTGGTATCAGAGTTTGAGCCGTAGTCGTATTTCAAATTTTTCTGAGTCATGACAGGCCCCAACTCATCCAGGTTGCAATAAATTAGGTATGCAATGCTGAACTTGGGAGTTCTTAGTCCTATAATTGTATCTCCTTAAGCGAGACATGGCAGCTATTCGCCTGAAAAAACTTGCCTGTGGGTATTTAAAAAGGGCCATGTTTTTCGTGACTTCTAGACACTAATAAAGAATAAATTCTATTCAGATGGTTCGACAAATCTTTCCAAGGTTTATGCTACAAAAACGGTAGATTTGGAATGAAGGCGGATCTTCCTGGTCTGACGCTCCGATCATGAGTCATCTTACGGAAGAAGTCTTGTTCGATGAGTTTGCGAACTCTGGATATAATGATGACGGTACCTTCGTCGGAAAATTAACTACGACCCCCCTTCCTCCTCAGCGTTTAAAATAGAACATTCCAGAACCTGTAAGTGTTGCTTTCAGATAAAAATATTTTGTGTTCGGGAACACTAATTTAATGCCAGGTGGAATCAGTCTCTCAATCTTGGCTATTCAATTGAAAATATCTTGTGTGGGAACACTAATTTAATGCCAGGTAGAATCTGTCTTTCAATCTTGGCTATTTGATTGAAAATATTATATGTGGGAACACTAATTTAATGCAGAGTGGAATCTCTCATCCTGACCTAACCTACTGCTCAACTGGAAGTATATTGTGTATGGGAACACCTGATTAGTAAAGAGTGGAATCACTTATCAGTTGAGCTATTTGATCAGAAATATATATTGTAATTGGACTGTTTTAATCCAAGGTGGAATCTCGCTCCCATATTTAACCCTTTCCGTGTGGCGGTACCCACGACAAAAGTCGCTAGATTGCGGCGGGTACGTTGATATACTCCACTGTTTTATTTTGCAATCGATCGCAAACTGTTGGTCTAGTTTTTCCGGGTATTAGTTTATTGATAAGAAGTCTTCTTCGAGATTAACATAAGCGACGGTAAATCTCGCTTTCGTTTTTTGAAATTTATGCAAATTTCGGTGTTTTTGGGGTGGTAATAGAAGACATATTATCCCTTCCATCTACCAAAGTATTTTGAGTTGGATCACGAAATTGCTACAGCAATATTATGCTATTGTTTGCCAACCACGAAGCGGTAACAGTAAAGAATTTAGCGAATATTTCTATTTTTTATCACGGTTTGAAGTTTCAACTCCCAAGAAAAAAAAAATGCCTTTTTTCTATCCGGTTTGTGACTCAGACCACCACTTTTGAAAAAACTATTTTTTTTAATTGCCAATTGCAAGCTCTTTAAATAAGCTTTCCAACGAGCCGTCAGTGGGCAGCAGAGGATCATTAGTTTTTCGTTAGTCGATCGATTAGTTGTGGGGGTACAAATGCATAAAATCGGCGTAGCAAATACGATTATTTAATAAAAAATAAAAATCGCATGGAAAGGGTTAACTATTTGACTAAAATGTTTTGTTATGCTTTTGGGAGCCATGATTTCAAAATCTCATTTCTCGCTATTCAGTGGGTTCCCAACCTTTTACGGCTCGTGGTCCCCTTCCAGAGGCTTTCAGCACTCACGGCCCCTTTCTATTATTCCAGTGGTATTTATAGTGTTATTTTGATTGGTTGATTCCAAATCCTATTATGATCAAACAATTCATGCTCAACAAAGTGAAAACACCCTGTGGAATAACCTTATCGAGCAATGAAACTAGGAAGAACATTTTTTTTTATGTAATCATTTTTGCACATAGCATTGTGGCCCCCAGAAACTGCTCTGTGGCCTCCAGTTAGGAACTGCTGCGCTATATATTAGCATTTTTTGCTTAGTAGCGCTGATTTTATACAGAGTTGAATCAGAATCATAACAATTAATTTTCCTTTATACAGTGCATCGACGTCATTTAATCAAGTCTAAAGATTGCAAAGCTTTTATCTGATGACGTAGACCTCCACATGTTCACATTCGGAAAAGGATTGATCAAAATTTTCCGAATGTCTCCTGATGCTTTCATCCAATTGTCTCTTCAACTTGCACATTTCAGGGTAAGAGAAATTGTTTCAAATTGAAAATATTTTCTAAATTAGGGGTGGGAAACATTTTTTGTCGGCGGGCCATATAACCAACTAGAGCTCGATCGATATCACTTTTTGCCGCTGATACAGATATTGATATAGTGGCCGATAACCGATACCGATATTAATATAAATTATATTGTGAGCCACAAAATGGGCTTTTATGTACCTCATGAGTACATGTAGTTTCATTTTGATATTTATTAGCATTGCAGTGAGACCTTTACGACGGGCCGTATCACAAACTTCAGACATCTAGCTGGACCTCATAAAAAATTTAGTTATTTCATCACACAACAAATTAAAAATTCTCTCATTATAAATATTATTTATTCAACAATTGAAATTTCGAGTTCTTGCATAGTTGTTAACATCTGCTTTGAAGGCTTTTGTATAGCCTTACAGTAATAAAGGCAGCGGGCAAAACGACGAAAGACCACCATGTGGTTTGCAATTTAACTAAAACATTTTTTGGTTCATACATAGCAATTTTGCGTAACTTAACATATGTTAGACCCTCAAATTTCTAGTCTAGTTATAACAGGGGTGGCCATGATTTTTAGACCAGGGGCCAAAAATTTTGCCAATCTAGACTGGCGGTTCATGTTAGTGAGACATGAAAAGTTACATTTTATGAACAATATTCAGTGTTACAAAAGCAAAAGTGGAGAACAATAAGCCTCATGCTAAAACTGAATTTAATCGCATACTCAACAAATTCCTTGAGCTATTTTTTAGCTAAAACATCCAAATTTGGTTTTAGTTTGGCTGTGGCAGCATTAGGCGGGCCAGATTGAATTACCCAATGGGCCGGATTTGGCCCGCGGGCAGTAGTTTGCCCATGTCAGCTCGAAGACTCTTGAAAACCCACATTTTCCGGCCAGGCGGAGCTGCTAGCTGTTACGGCCTCATCAATTAGAAATTTCCAGTCTAGTTATAATATATTTCATAACTTGACCATAAAAAAGACCAGACCGCTTTCTCATATTTCTTCCCTTTTGAAATAAAAAAATCATCTTTATTACAGGTCAAAGGTCATTTCAGTTTGACTTACGAAGCCTCAAAGACGAGATTGTTCCGAAAAGGGAGGAGCGAGACTGTTCGTTCATGCATGTCTGAATATTGCGCTTTCGTTCGCGCCATGGAAGATTCAGAACAAACTGTAAGTTTATTACTTTATTAAATCAAGTTGTACTCAATGCTCATTAGAGCGTGAGTAGACAGAATAATGTAGTTATAGTAAACAGGACTCGATGCTGTTATTTCTTGGCTCAATTGAGAAGAAATAGTACGAACTATTTGTGTTGTAATATAGGTTAATTGAGACTTTCAAGTTATGTAACTGTTAACAGAGCTTCGTTTTTCTGCGCAGTTCGATAATGTGCTTTTCACATCTCTTCCGCACGCGCATCCTCGAGTTTCAAGTTAGTGTCGACAAAGTTTTGTTAACGCCCCAACAACACTCTCTTAAATTTTTTTTATAGGTTAGGCATCTTTGCTATTCTGTTCATCCTTCTTTTATTTGAACGAGTGTTCCCACTTTTCAAATCTTTCTATAACGTTTTGAATCAGTTTCCACTATTTCTAATAAATTTTCCCTTTTCAGAATGAAGACAGAATTGCTCTTTTGAAGAAAGCTACAGAACGCCATGTATCAGGATATAAGAAGGCCATGACTGCTAGGTTATTGTGTTATTTAGAAACATTTTCTTACCCTCAATTTGAACTCAGTACCTACGAGCCACTGGCTAACGCACCCTTTTGAAATGTAAAAAACCTTTTTGTGTAACATACATAGCAATTTTTCGCAGCTTGAAACGCTTTTTAGACCCTCAAGATAATTGAAAACCTACTTTCACCGGCATCTGGTAGGAAATGATAACTGTTTCTGTCTGACTTGGCTATTAAAAAGTCAAAACCCCCCTCCTTTAAAATTTCCTGGCCACGCTTCTGTAGACAAAGCCTGGTTCTGGGATACCAGGCAACGTGGTGATGAATTTTGATCGCTTTTTCTACGAAAAGGACTTTTATTTTGGTAGGAATTCCACTCAAAACACAATTCTAAACTATTTTTTCTCCCCATCGGCCAAAGCAAGTTATTTGAAAGGGTACTTAGAAAAGTTGCAAGCTAGTATCAAGCAAAAGTATGTTTTATTCAAAAAACACGATGAAAATATGTGGATGGAACATAAATTTTAAAACTAAATAAATGTAAATATCTAAAATAAGGCGGGCAAGATCAAATCTAACAAATATTTTTATTTTGAATTAGCTTCACGCCCCCTCAAAAAATTGTTTACGCCCCCCTTGTGGGGCACCCCTCTGTTTGACTATTATACTAAGCTATGATTGGAAAATTCCAAGTCAATAGGGGGGAGGGGGAATTCCCACAAGGCCCCAATTCAAAACCGATATTTTTTTCCTCCCATAGGTCAAGGAATTGATCGTCATTTATTTTGTCTCTACGTCGTGTCAAAATATCTCAAGATTGAGTCTCCCTTTTTGCAAAAGGTCAGAATATCATTTTCCTTTTTTTTTCTTTTTTTTTCATTTTTTTTTCGATTTATTACTTTTTCTTCTTGTTTATATATTTCTACTCACTTTTTAATACGTTAACCTTATGTGATGTTTTGTGTCTTCGCTCTGGACAAACCTAATAAGTTGTCACTGATGATTTGTAAGGAGCTGCATTTTTTTTAAGGTCTGGGTTTAATTTATTTGGGCAGGCAATACTGGGAACTGGGAAGGTTCTGATTCGCTGTTAGCATTAACCCACCCCTCTCTAAAATTTCATACACCCCCTTAATTTTGAAGTATGATACCGCACTTTATTACCCAACTTAAGTATAATAGTATTTGAATATCCATAAGGTAGGATATTTATCAGTGCAGATGGTCTGTCAAATACATAACACATTTTTATAAGTTACGAATAGTTTTATCGCTAATAGGAAAATATTTACCAACCTTCTAAATTCCCCCCCCCTCTAAAATGAAATGCTGAGGTACATACTGGCCGTAGGTTCCCATATCTCCACTATGTGAGAACCTCCTGTTCTAGAAGTTACAGAATCTTTCCAGTTTAGCCGATTCAATTTATTACACCCTGGGTAAGGTGGGGCGACATGATGTTTGAACTCGAACTAACGTCTAGGTCCAACCCCTGAAACATTAGAATTAAAGTAAAAGCACAAATAAAATTAGATTTCCAGATCTATTAGTCTTCATTGCTTTTCAAAACACTTGCCCCGCTTTCATCATTGCCTGCCCAAATTTATTGCACCTCTAGGTGAGCTGGTGAGCAGAGTTTTTTATTCAGCCAACATGGTCTCACACCATAAACATTAGCATAAAAGTAAAAACTAAAAGCATAAGTTGTTTTCAAAACATCTCTCACAACGATCATTTTTCTTTTCGGTGTTTCTTATCGTGCTGGTGCAAGCTATCGCTGAAACGTAATTTTCTTTCTCGCTGTTGCAACTTAGTGTATGTTTAATTCGAAATTCAAGAAATTTTGTCCCTAAAAATTTGTCAAATTGGCTGTTATGGAATTAATTTCATCTGGTCACATTGACATTTCAAACCCTGCATTATTTACTCATTCAACCATGACTTCCATTAGATTTCTCAATCATGTGACTCTCTAGTCATTATCGTTAATCAAATATTTTTCTCATTTTAACCCTGCATTTTCGGTCATCATTCATCCAACCATGACTGCCATTCATTTTTCAATCATGCGGTGTTCTATTGCATATTCATATTCATCAATTTTTTGTTCAATTTAACCCTACATTTTCGTTCATCAGACCATGATGCTCCAGCCAACATTCCTAATCTCAAATTATTTGTTCATTTTGGCCCTGCATTTTTATTCCTCTGACCATAACTTTGATTAAGTGTTTCACAAATTTAAGTTCATTAGATAAAAAATCATAAAGAATGTTATTATCATTTTAACCCAGCATTTTTAATCATTCAACTGTGACTGTCTTTATTCGTACCCTTCATTTTTAGTTATTAACGCATGGCTGTCTATTGTCATCAAATTCTTCATTATATAAAAAAAAAAATTTTCAAAAAAGTTTTTTTCAAATCGCAAATTACAATCATGAAAATAATTATTTATTTGTTCACCACAATGTATGATATTTTCAAAACCATTATATATTTGGAAATTTTCTTTGTATCTAACTGAACTAAAAAAAAATTGTCTTGATTTGTATATCCAGCAAACTAAGTCCCCTCTGTGACAGCAGCAACTTGTGAATGCGCAAATAGTTCCGCATTAATTTTAGTTCTTTTCAACCCTGTATTTTTATTTATTATACCGTGACTCTTTAGTTGAACCCTCAGTAACATATCACCCTGTGACTTTACAAATCCATGCGATCCCCTGAATGAATAGATAGATCCACATCAATTTTGGTTCATTTCAACCCTGAATTTTTATTTATTAGACCGCGACTCTTTAGTTGAACACTCTGTGACAAAGCAGTTACAAATCCCTGCGACCCTCGAATGTGCACATAGTATCACGTCAATTTTGCTTCATTTAAACCCTTTTTTTACTTATTGGACCAAAACTTTTTTTTTAGTTGAATCTGATAATGAAAAATTAACAGTTTTTTTTAATTCTATTTTCATTTCAACCCTGCGTTCTTAGTCATTAAACCATGATCCACATGGCAAGTCATTGGACCTTTCAAATACACCCATAGGTTGTGACTCATCAGCCGGACCTTTCAAATACACCCATAGGTTGTGACTCATCAGCCGGACCTTTCAAATACACCCATAGGTTGTGACTCATCAGCCTTTCAAAAAACATAGTTCAAAAATTGAAGGAGGGAGGGGGAATCCCATTTTTTGGATGTAGTCATTACACGCATATCACATTTTTTTTATATTAAAAAGAAAACCTTTTCCATCTTTGAGTTTCTCTACTCTAAAAAATAACTATTATCATGCTGAGTGTCTTTCTTTTTACTGTTTTCATTAATCTTCAATCAGTTTCCATGTTTCCTGTCGCATTAACTCCCAACTTAAGTAAGTCTCCTCTCATGAGACAGGAAGTATTCTTTTTATAATATTTCATGTGACCTGCATTTGCAGCTATTGCTATGTAATGGATTTGCATATTTATACCGGGGGAGAGGAAAAGACGATAACACAGCCTGATTCTACAGCAAACCACGGCCTGTAGTCCGGTTACCAGTCCATATTGGGTCTGGGATTGGTTAGCTAGTTTGCCCACCTTAGCCGGTGGGCCATGTAAGTGTGACTTAAAAGTTACATTTTATGAACAATAATTACAGTGTTGCAAACGCAAAGGTGGAAAACAATAAGCCTCGTTCCAAAACTACGTTTAATCGCAAGCTCAAAAAATTCCTCGAATTATTTTAAACTTAAACATCAAAATTTGGTTTTAGTTTGGTTGTGGCAGCATCGGGCTGTCTTCTTATCTTAACTGTTTTTTTATCTAGGGGACTCTCTGATTACACTCTTTTGAATGTATTTATATTTCCACGTTATTATCTCCCTATCTATTTATCTTATCAGAACTCATCTCGATTTGCTGATAACATCGAAAAAGCAATGATGAATGTGAAGGACCTCTGCGAATATGCAAAGAAAAAATAATTTGAGAAAAAAAGAAAAAAAATTAGGAATTATTATTAGGTTTTAATGCATTGTGTTTTATAAAAAAGGGGGGGAGCACTGAGGGTAAAAATGTACGGGATTTTATTTTGATTTTACTTATACTTTTGTGTGAAAAAGCGTGTTCTATTTTTTCTGTAATATTTACTGATTGTGTTTTTATCTTAGTGTAAAACAGATTTGGAAACCAAAAAAAAAAAAAATTCTGAGGGATGGGGGAATTTTTCAGATAAATTTGAATTTGAGTAAAATTTCATATAAATCACGATTCAGCATACTTGCATAAATATTTTGAACAAACCGGCAGTGGCTAGGTATCACTGTAGGCTCTGAACCTTTTTTCTGACCCCTTACCCTGCCCCCTCTCCCCCCCTTTAATTTTCGTCGTCTCACTCAGGTAAGAGCTGTATACAGCATATATATCCAGACATGTTTTTCAAGTTTTTTTTAAGAATTTGGGCGCATTTGCCTGTGGTGAGGTCACAACACAGGACCCAGAGAGATTATGACATTTTTTCTCACACTCCCTGTCCCCCCACAATTTCAATGCCCCAGCCAGGAAGGAAAACCGCTCTAGTGGGAGCTATCTGTTGGGGTCCCGTTATTTTTCTCCCCCTCCCCTCTTTTTCCAAGATAAACTCCTATGTTGTGCTCCTCGCTTTTTCATTTTCTGTATATTCAACATATCAACCACTTTGTATTTGCTCCTCTGGAACACCACATTGTCACAAATATTTTTGATAATAACCCCCCATCCCCCCCAAAAAAAAAAAAATTGTGTTATTTACATTAACAAGAATACAGCATAGATGAATATTAAAATAAAAAAAATTTTTAGTTCCTTCCAACTTATCTTCCTCAAATATTTTCACTTTATTGAGGATATTATTTTTCAAAACAATACGTTGCTACGAAACCATATATTGTATTGGCCCTCACAGACGTATTAAATGAAGGTGAAAACAATTGCTGATTAAAAAACAACAAACCTGGTTAAGATATATTGAGAATTGACTTCTTAACAAAATTGAAATTGTAAACGGACTTCATGGGACACCCCGTATTTATGAAGCATTTTAGACTTGACATTATACGATTATATACTGGGTTAGGGCATATCCTATGAGGTTAAAAATAACACTTTGATGGGATTTGTCAAAATTATTATAAAAGACACCGACACAATTCTTTTTGACAATCTACTCATTTAAATGTGGTGTTCCCTTCACTTTTATTATATTTATGATATTCTTTGATAGACTGTTAGGAATTGAATCTTTTTTGAAGTTTTAATTATGATTCCAGGACTGAACTTTGGAAACCAAATTAGATGATGAGAACTGTAGCCTATATACAGGGACATAGCCAGCAGGGGGTTTTGAGGGTTGCTCCCTCCTTTTTTAAATGTAAAAAAGGCATATTACTGATTTAAACATAGCAATTTTTCGTAAAATAAAATGCGTTTTGAACTCTTGAAAACCCATCTGCTTCGGCATCCTTTTGAAATGTAAAAAAAGCAATTTTTTGTAGCATAAAACACTTTATGGGACTCTTGAAGACCTATACGACCACCGGACAGACCTAGCAATTACGGTCCAACTTGGCAATAACAAATATCAAGATCTTCACTTTTAAAAATTCCTGGTTACGCTTCTGTTTATACACGCATCAATTGTCTGTAAAGAAAACTTCTTTGGCTTAATTTTTGAGTTTTTGTCTAAATTATGATTATTACCATTAGAAGTCCGAAACTATCCAAATTTTGAACACAAAAAACTAAGACTCTGTGTCCCATCTTTACAGCTCTGATTTTGTGTTGAATTTTTGGTGAAACAATATTTTTGTATGAGTTATGTGTGATTATTCAAGTATTTATTCGAGTGTATTTTTTTTCGCAGGGTGGTGTATTTTGTTTATTATCATGTTTTTTAGGAACGTAAGATTTACATTATCAAAATGTGTTCAAGTTTTGCTATTTATATACAAGCCCAGGCGCACCGGAAGTATTCACACCAAGATGACGCACAACCTGAACAACCTTAACCTGGTACACACACAACCTGAACAACCTTAACCTGGTACACATACTATGTTCAGGTTGTGCGCCATCTTGGTACGAATACTTCGGGAGCACCCAAGCCCGAATTAATTAAGTGTGTAATGCCAGCTTTTTTCTGTACTGGATGTAAATCACAGCGTTCTTGGCAGTTTTTTAATTCTTGGTGTCCGAAAGTATTTTTTACTCTGAATAGTCCAATGGATAGTGAAAATAATGCCATAGATTAGGGTGCTCCCGAAGTATGTGCGCTAAGATATATAGGTACCAGGTTAGAGTTCAGGTTGTGCGCCATCTTTGAGCAAATATTTCCGGAGCGCTTAGATATGAATTTCGACTCCGGATTCTACTCTAGTAGTCTCTAGTTTTTAGTCCGGTGGTTCCCAATCTTCAACAGCTCCCTTCCTGAGGCTTTAAGGACTCATTGGCCCCCTGTTTATCATTCCAGTGGTATTTATAGTTTTAAATATCCCCGGTTGGGAACCGCTGCTCCAGTCTTTGAATACAGATTTTCAATATCAATAAGAGCAATTCAAACTAAACTCTGCCGGATTCCAATATTGTTATTAAAAGCATGTCAAACCTTAGGGATGCCCTATCACAGGGGTGTGCGGTATTTATAGTTTTAAAGACCCCAGTTGGGAACCGCTGCTCTAGTCTTAAGAGCAATTCAAACTAAACTCTGCCGGACTCCAATATTGTTATTAAAAGCATGTCAAACTCTGGGGACGCCCTATCACAGGGGTGTGCAACCTGTGGCCCATAAGAAAAAATGGTGTGGTCCGCGCAGAAGTGACAACTTTGAAAGGTGTACGGCCTGTAAAACGAGTTTTTATTAGTTCAATCTGGTTCGTGCTAGTTATTCGAATCTCTTTGCATCGCATAGCTTATACCCGAGTTCAATTTATTATCTATGCTTATGACGTCACAGAAGCGAACTACACATGCCATAAGATCAATAGCCAAACTTTTTGTGCCTGCGACTACTAGAAAGCCTATGTTAAAAAGGTGCGGCCTGCGGTTTCACCAAGTTATTTGTATCTGGCCCTCTTGTATTAAAGGTTGCCCACCCCTGGATTAAACTATTCAATATCAAAAAGCTATCCCGCTTATGGTCACTGAAGCATGACTGGGCAGAATAATCACATCTTCTGTGATATGAAACTATTTAGATATGGATTTTATACTTCTGAATTCAGACTCGACGTTCTCTCTATATACTTAAGACTTTTATCTTTTTTTGTGTTTTAAAATAGTTGGAAGTAAATTTGACAAATATGAACAATTTTTTGCAGGACTGTGTTTTTTTTATGACATGGAAGGGGTGAAGACATTTTGACCAATGAAGACTGATAAAAAAGAATTGCAATGCCATGGTAGTCGAAGTGTCGGACTTAACAATGTTGATTGTTGAAGTTTGAAATGTTGAGTTTGAATTTCAGATCAGGGTCAGACCCCTCTTCTAAAATGTAAAAAAAGCATGATATGAATTTTTCATAGCTTGAAACTCTTTTTAGACCCTCAGGACTGTTGAAAGCCCGCGTTTTCGGGCATGGAGTCGGTTCTGCTAGCTGTTATGGTCTAACTTGAAAATTACAAAGTTCAGAATCCCCCTTTGAAAGTTCCTGGCTACACTTCTGACTCTGATCACTAATACCGACCTAACATGTCTTCTTATAGCAATGGTAGCTTTTTGTTCATCAGAAGAGCTTTCGAATCCGTTCAGACACTTTTCTTCCGAGTGAGTTATTTGATGAAACATGTTTCTTACTGTATGTGAACACTCAGCTACTTATTGGGACACGTTAGTGGACATTCAATATTATATTGTTGTTCTTGTTATTCGTCATCATTATCATTAATTCTTCGAATACTGGACCAATCAGGGATGGCCATTTCCGAATACTAAACTATTCCGAATACATTCTAAAATCGAAAATAACACATTTTTGTTTTAGTTGATTAAAACCCAGTAAATTAGGAATTAAGCTTCAATAGAAATATCAGAATGAAGCCACAAACCAACAGTATATGTACACAAAGTAATTGATAGTTCATAGCTATCAATAAAAAATAATAGCAACTTGTGACACAGTCGGTTTATTAAAATTATTCACTTTGTACAAATGACCATATGAAAAGATAGCCAAGGAGTTGTCTGACGCTTTCTATCATTGGTACCACGATATTACGATAATGGTCAAGTCTATTGACAAAAATACTACTTGTATTCAGATAATTGTGTATATTTTCTGAGAGTAATAAAAATTTATTGGCAATACAGGCAACAACAATCGAAAATCCATTATGCCTTTAAAAATTCTAATATTTAAGCCTGAGGTATTCTACTACCTACCAGTATATTTGTATATTAATTTATGTGAACCACATTGTTATTATGTGTAACATATTGTTGTGTTTGGAATTAGAAATAAATTAGTAAAGAATAGATGACCACCACTGCCAGCGCGCAGCCAGGATTTTCGAAATCGGAAGTTCCCATTGCCGCCTGTAACACCCACCGCGATTTCGCGCTCGTTAAAAGAGCCGTCTTTTCAGCGTATAATGATCATTCTGTTACGTAAAATATTCAATCCATGACAACTACGAGATTCTAAAATATCTTTATATATTAATTTAATGTGTCCAACGTAACTCGCGGTTGCTTCTTCTTACGTCAAAAAAAAAACATTACTATTCGGTCCACGGCGATCTGTGACCTAAAATTACGAGATAAACTGCCTGATGTATTTAATTTTAATACGTATTTTTGCAATCTTGCCAACTCGTTATCGCCGTTAGAAAAATCTCAAAAATTATATAATATCTTGTTAAGTGCAGAGTATAATTCATTTCATACAATGAATATACATATAAAGTTTAGCAGTGAATTAAAAATACATATTCATCTCCGCGATTATGCCACCTGTTAAAAGAGTCGACTTTTACAACAAATAATATAACAACGAATATATATTTTTCTGTTGTGCAAAGTGATGAAATCGTGACCGACACGCGTATTTAAAATGTCTTGCTTTATTAATTTAATTGTCTTCAATTTAACCTGTGGTTGCGTCGACAAAATAAAATCCTCACCACTCTTATATACCATAGCAATCCGCGGTTATAAAAATAAAAACGTGAGGTAAACTGTCCGATTAAATATTGTTTTGATCCGTATTTTGCGAATTGGGCAAGTATTTAGATGTACTTGTTAACAGTGACTCCGCTCGATCGAAATGCTGCCACTCTGATTATTTTTAGATAAAACCGTTCGAAAAATCCATAAATATGCAGTAATATCTCAGAGTAAAATTAATTTCATCACAATAAAATTGATTGAATATACTTTAGATTAATTATATTATATACATCCTCACAACCCGGGAAAAAGTCGCGTTTCAAACCTTGAATCGTGTTAACACGAAAATATTCGACGGCAATTTAAAGTAATGGATAATCAGGCAAATCACGCCCTCAATTAGTGACGATATGTTTCTAAACGCCGACCAAACATAACGTGTGCCAGAGGCACACGAAATTTAAAGCGTTTTTTAAATTTTCGCGGGTCTAAATAAAACTTATATTGTTTACGATTTTATTTTCAGTATTTTAAATTTCCCCTTTTCAATCAAAAAGTTGCGTTGTCTTTAGAAACTCGCCGCCAATGAACGTATTTACCAGATTCACAATTCCGTGCGCGTACAAAAATAAAATAAATGTTATCGTTATCGTGGAACAAATTTGTGGATTTTAGAGAAAATAACACAATCGTAAAGGCGTTTACGGCCTAAATAACACGTTACGCTGATGAGTGATGAAAACAATCACGCGCAAGTTTCTATCGAGAATGTTTTCATTCAACGGAAACGTCTTGAAAGCGGCGTCGAAAATGTGTGACGTCACACAAATATCTGATATTCTTATGAACGTGAATTCCGATATTCGAATGACGAGATATTCGAATACATTCGAATACTTTATTCGAATTGGCCATCCCTGGGACCAATTGCTTTGAAATTTATAAGTATAAGTTTATTTCGACTCCATAATTAGCATAACAATACATTTGACAGATAAAAACAAATAAATAAAAACTGATTATGAAATCAGGGGAGCCAACGAAGATGGAAGGGTTTACCAAAAGGATTACCAAGCTGATTATAGTTGGAGTCAAATGCCAAGTTTCCAGAATTGGGTGCATGAAGAGGTGGGCGAGACCATTTCATTCCCCAAATTAGAGCCTATTATTGCCAAATTATAGTCCAGATTGTAATAAGTAATTAAAGTTACCGGTAACAGTAAAATTACTATAATTAAGTAAAGTAGGATATGAAAATAAATTGGTTACAAAGTGTGTATTGAGGTTTTTCATTCTTGGGTATTGATTTCAGACAAGGATATGGGAGTAAGATTGTTATTTCACACTCACAGGATATCGGAGTCTTTGTTTTGATTTTTTCCTCATGTGTGTTACTTCATTTAATCACTTTGAAGTAACCTGAAAAACAAAAAATAAAACTGCGAGTAGATGTTTCAATGATTGGGTGAAGGGGAACGCGCTGAACTATTTATTACATGCAAAAAATAATTGTTTAATTAAATGGGATGTATTGTCATTATATAGCGATGGATAGATGATCTATGATGACATTCTGCTTGAGACAGAGGAAATTTTTTCACACCATGCAAAAAACACAAAATTTTACAATCTATACCTTGGCCAACAAGTCAACTCAAACACCAATACCATGCCTTAACATAAAATGCATGCATACATAAATGATATAAAAACCACATTCAATTACGATGACCCACAGCAAATTAAAATCTGAAGGGGAGAATCCAACATAGCTCTATTACTCGCCTAGTTGCAATAATTAGTAACCTTGCAGGAACTATGTTATACTATCTACAACCCTCAAACATAAGACCATGCGTGTATGATAAGGACATCACAGCAAGAAAAAGGTAAAAACACGAGCGTGAAGTGATAGAATGTGTGCAGTTATTTAAAGAAAATATCATCCGGGTATGTCAGCTACCTATATATTTAAAAAAAATATACTCGTGCATGTCACAATACCATTTCTTTGGTGCTGGACTAGGTTTGGCCAAGTCATGGCAAGATATAACAATATTATTATAGCTGTTCAACATTTTCATTAA